CCTTCCTCAGGTTCCCTTATTGCGACGCCGATGGTCATCGACCTCTGCTGAAAGTCATGAGGGCCGATGATGGCCATCCTTCGGCGCCTTTTCAGAAGGGGCTGCTCGTCCATATCTGAGTCTGAAGACTCTTGTATTTGATCTTCGGGACGAACAGGAGCTTTGCCTTCTCTGTGTCTGTTACTCTCTTCAGACTGTAACAGACAGGGGGGAAGAAGAGTGTGAGTAATTAAAAAAAAAAAAAAAAAAAAAAAAAAAAAAAAAAAAAAATGAAAAGAAAAAAAAGTTGTCTGAAGCTCACCGAGGTTTTCAGCAAAGCCTCGTCTTCTTTAGCTGCTCTAGCTGCAGCTTCGGCCTCAGCAGCTCTGGAGGACCCTTCTCCTCCTTCGCAAGCCTCAAGTACCCGTGCAACCTCTTCGGCTGTGCGGGCAGCTTCAGCTTCTTCGTTCAGCAGCTGAAACCAAGGGTCTCTCTTCTTCCACCAAGGCTTCTGCCTCTGATACAGAGCAACAGCCTCAATTTGGAAGTGGGAAGAATCCAGATGAACTTCCCTATGCCTCGGCTCAGTGATAGACGGGGCCCGTTCAGTTACAACTCGCTCTCGGTTAACACCAAAACGAGCGTAGTTAATACCAACGTTGGTCTCGTCCCGCTCTGAAAAAAGGGAAAGGGAAAAAGTTTAGCTCAGATATGTTGGCACAGCATAAAAAAGCAAAGCGAGAGAAGAAAAAGAGGTAGTTAAAAGCCTCGGCCCCAGCCGAAGAAGCTTACCATCCTTAAACTTTCGGCTGAGGCCAACAGCTGCTAGCATATTCTCTTGGAAAACGTAATGCGTATCGGGGAGCCAAGTCTCCGGGATATGCTGCATTCGACCACTCCCCCCCGGGTTCGGCAGCTTGCCGAAGATATGTTGCTGATCCAGGTTCGGATCCGCCCCGTTATCTGCGGGGGGACCTAGACTTCCCATTTCGGGATCAGGCTCAGCTAAGTACCGGGGAGCGCTGAAGACGCAAGGGTGGCCCGGATCTGTGGGTGCCCTAACCCAAATCCATTGACCTCTCCAGTCCTTGTCTGAAGAGTCATTTGGCCACATGGTCAAGTATTGGGGCCGGGACTCAATCCGATACCACCCAGAACCATGGCTTCCGTGCCCACTCTGAATATTTGGCACTAACCGATGGAGCTTTCTGAAGCAGTGCAGGTTCGGCACGTATTTGAAGAACTTGCAGACCCATAAGTATGTCATCACCCTTCGGATGCTGGTGGGGGTTAGCTGACATAGGGAAATGTTGTAATGGATCAGCAAGTCTCGGACGAAAACGTCCAAAGGGAACCTCAGCCCATACTGAAGCTGTCTCGTGTACACCCCCACATACCCCGGGGGTGGACGATGGATTCTATCGGATGCTGAGGGCATTCGGCACCAATATCCATCAGCTTCAAAAATGCCGTAGTGCAACTCAATTTGCTCAGCAAATCGATATTGATCGGCGTTCTCTACCCACCATGAGTAGGGGCGGTTCTTTATCATGGCCGAAGCGACTTCGGCATTCTCCCACTCTGAAAACCCAGGGAGGATATCCCAAAGGACAGCGGGAATTTCATCGTCCCGTCCAGAAGCACTCGGCTCATCCGTTCTTTGAGGAGGAGCCGAGGAAAGGGGAGTCGCCCTAATCCCTTCAGCAGGGTCAGACTCCGGCCTTTGACCATTCCAGGTCCCAATCCTATTCCTAGGATCGGGAATCGGCCTTGCTCTTCTTGGAGCACGGGCTCTACCTCTAACTCCTCTTGCCATGGATTATTTCGAAGAGAAAAGTCGAAAGAAAAGGGGAAGGAGTTCGAATTCGAAGAAAAATAAACTGAAATCAAAGGAATTTACCTTAATCTGAAGCGAAAGTTGCCGATTTACGAGTTCGTAGTGGCAAGTCTCAGTTTCTAAGCTCAATGCTCGGGGAATTTGCGAAGTTTTGATGCGGGTTCTTGGTTTCTCTCTCGAAGAATTCTGGGTTTGTGTTGGTGAATAAGTGAGGAGAATGACGCGCCTCTGTTTATATCTCCAGGTACGGGATACGAAGAGTCTGTGCTTTAATTTCTCTTAAATACCCACTAAGTAACCATTAAACACATGTCTTGTGATTAAACTGCCCATTATCCGTCCAACTTCCGCAAATCATTAACCGTTGTTATCTCATTAATTACGGTTTAAATTCAAATTTTTGGATCAATTAAATCATTTACTTCCCTCCTTTTCTGAGTTAAATCAAACCCGACCCGTCATCCTTCCAAATCGGGTCTGGGGGGCAAGTTGTTTGGGTCCAATTTAGTCAAAATTGGGCCTGAGCACTAAATGATCCAATTAAAAGCCCAAGGTCAAGGTTCAACTCTCCAATTGCTCAAAAGTCAAAGGTCAGCCCACAAAGTAAGCCAATTTGGGCTAAAGCCCAACCTCTCCATGTATGATGAGGTATAAAAGCCATCATATTGACATACATTCATATTCCAATTCATATGCTCATTCTTGCATTCAGAAATATTCCACAAAAGCCTCAAGCTACAAACTCTCTTGCATAGTGTCTTCCTTTTACACATTGTACTGACTTTAGCATCGGAGGGGCCTTCCTCGGAAACACCCCCGAGGCTAGTTTACGTGTGTTCACTGTGCAGGAAACCTTCGGCCCAACACAGCTTGGACCGAATCCAGTCTTCTCCATCTCAGCGGACCTTCGGCAAGGTCCCATTGTTTTCAACCGAAACAATAAGCATGTCACATCCTCTTTAATCAATAAAAGTAGATCACACATATATGTGGAAATTAAATCTAATGCAAAAAATTAACCTTGCTAGGATGATGTGATGACCAGCCATGCATTAAAAGAAATTTAATTTTTTAAAAGAGTAGTAGTTAGTAGCCAAATACATTTGGAAAACAATAATCAACTTTCTTTGAGATAGTGACTAAAAGATCGATATTTAAAAATCAGACCATGAAAGTGATGCCATAAAATAACATGACATAATATAACACTAAGTTTATTTAAAAGTCAAATGATGCATGAACCTAGCTAAGCTTGCTAACATGCTTAAAATTGAAGTATGATTGCATTTACAAATTGATGATAAATCTATTTAACGACCTAGTATATCTTCACTTCTCACCAGACCTACACATCGTATACCACTCCAAGCTCCAACTGAGCTTATAAAAGCCTAACTTGTATATGAATCAACTAAACTCAATTCGAACGATTCAAATTGACTCGACGAAGTAACCTCCTAATTTAAATAGACACCTAATCATATACATAGATTTCCTCTTATTGAAATTTGACTGTATATCTACCATATTCCGAACTAACTATATAATACAATGTAATTTATATATGTGGAAAATAAAGACCTTAAATGAACCCTTTGACGTAAGATTAGGAAAAACTTATATCTTATTTTTTTTTATTTATCTAATTGCATAACATATGTAAAATTTGAGCACGTAGGTACATGTGTAATACTCCCATATGCTAAGATTCTATCAACAACTTTAGATAATTAATATGGACTACTTGAACCCTCATGATTAAAACTCTACCTCTCCACCACTAATTACATCAAAGATAATTCTGATATTCATGAAAATTAAAAGGTCCAAAAAGTTGGTTCGAAGGAAATTAAATACTTGGGATAGAAGAAAGCATGTAAAATAAATTGATAGCCTAAAAAAAAAGAAGGCAAAAATCCACACGGCAAAATAGTGGAAGAAAGCAATACCCTTTTGATCGAGCTTCAATTTATGTGTACAGTTTGTTAGGTGTGTTCATTTAAAGGCCGGTTTCTACTTTCTAAACTCAAAATCTCAGTAAATGTTTGATGTGCCCTTTTAACTAAGTAGATGTACAATTGTTATTAATTAGCTAGGGTTTTTAATGACTTATCCAACTTTGTCTCTCTCTTTGATTATATTTCAAACATCTTTCATCTTTCCAACTTTAATGCATATCATAATGCATGGTGACATTTCAGGTGTCATGTATGTTCATACATCTCAAATATAAATGTAACGTCAATTATTGATTACTCCCTTCGTCTCTTAATAATTTTTTCCAATATGTTTAGAATATTACACTTACAGATAAATGGGTGAATATTTTATGTACAAAGTATATTATTCGCTATATATGAGAAAAATCAAACATAATCATATATTAATGGTTGAAGATTTGTATTGAATATTGATGACAAACATGCTCATTCAAAACATTATAACTTTTATAAACAAAGGGAGCACACCTAATTCTATAATTTTGGCTTCACCCTTAATCGTTACAATACGTAAACCAGATTGACATAATGTCCATTGTAAAGTTCATAGCTCAAAACAATAAACCTTTTTCTAGCAATTGTAGGAGCATATAATCAAAATAATTTTCTAAAGTCTATAAATTTATGGTAAGGGTAAAAAAAAAAAAGAACTAAAGAGGTACAAATCTCTTACTTATTACTTGCCTATTACTGAGTACTAGAAGTCTAGAATGACATGCAAAGATACTAGCCCCATCCACTTTATATTGGAATTTCAGGTCAAATGCAAAAAGTGATGATCACAAAACTTAAGTCATTAAATTGAAACATCTCATTCAAAAGTCAGTCAAAAATCTTATAGCTACTTTAAAAAAATTGTAGGGATGTCTTCCTAGCTTTTAAACATCTCTCTAGGGGTTCTTGGAGTCCAAATAGTGTATGCGTACCAATGTACCATGGTATATGTCGAATAGTGTACGAGTACCAAAACACACATGTATTGCGAAAAATATTCCCTCCTTGTCATGATATATCTACGAGTAATAGTTTGTCTAACACACTCAAGAATGTAAATGTGTGACAACAAATATGTGTAAATGTATAAATGGTAAGAATTAAATCACGCTCGCATACTATGTGTTCTATCTCGTTTGCACAACCAAACCCTGTTTTTTTTTGCCAAAATTCTAGTCCATGATCACCTTTATATTTCAATCAATTTTACAATAAAATTATAAGGTGATGTATTTATTCTATCAAATCAGGTTTATTTTATGGACAAATAAATCATACTTCGCATATAATTATTTCATTGTTGCAAATAATATAAAACGGATGTATGAGGCTCGTTTGGATTTTAGATTACCAAAGAGGCCAATGGAACCAAACAACCAAATGAACTAGGTCAAAATGGCATGTATGAGCCTTATTATTGAGCCCTTATCAATTTGTCATAGCCCAAATTCATCCCAAAACTCACCTGTATTCTGATTTTGAGCACCCGACTCCGTACCCGATTGGAAGGGAAGCCCGCATGCTAGCGAGCAGCCGCGAAAAACAGCGAGCAGCAGGCAGGCGTAGCGGCTAGACACAGCAGTATAGGCTTGCGTTCTTCGTCTAAGGCTTGATTTCGAATTCGTTTGCATTACACACTTCCAACAGGTTGGTTCTGTTTCTGTTTCTTTGTATCAGAATTGCCTGTGGATTAGTTGGAGTTTTTCTGAATTTTCACATTTCTGTCAAGATTTTATCATTGTTTAAATAATTACTTCATTTTATCAAAGTGGGTTGCTTGTATTTTGTTAAAAATTGATGCTTTCAATTGTTATAATTTGTGGGATTTTATTTGGGTTTATGTAATTGTTGATTGATGTTGTTAGGTTGTTGTTCTTTGATTGAAATATTATTGGGGTTTGTTTAAGCTGAATGAAATTGTTTATGAATGTGCACACCAGGTGTTTGATATATTGCCTCTTTGAGAATTCAATGTTGCAACTTTAATTTACAAAACTGTCTCATAAACATTGTACACAACATAATATGTTTCTTGTAAAGAAATTTGGACAATGAGTAATATATCCTTTCATTGTCATCCATGAAGGATGATTTGGTGGCTGGTTAGAGGGTTTGGGCAATGCTGCAGGAGTCAGAAGGGGTATGATTACTCGCAGAAACTTACTCTTGTAAACATTAAGCTGAAATGGGTTAAAGATAAGACCCTTGATGAAGCCGTGGCGGGTCAGAGGGACCTCAAGGCGGCTTGCACCCTTGTCTCCATCATCTTCTCTGATTCCGAGGACTGTGTTCCAATATACCGTCTTAGGCGCCAGAGTAGACAGCTTGGGATTCCTGATGAACTTAAGCTATCTAGCTTTGTAAGGAGATACCCAAGTATCTTTCATGAGTCTTCTTTTCTCGATAGTGGGGGCACGCCTGTCCCCTTATTTAGCTTGACCCCTGAAGCATTGAGTCTGCATCAGGAAGAACTTAGAATACTTCAGCGGAATCAGATGGATACAGTGATTCGGCTTCAAAAGCTGTTGATGCTTGTTAAGGATATTACTCTTCCTTTACAGACAATTAACCAGTTAAAATGGGATCTTGGTTTGCCACATGATTACCATCAGTCATTGATTCCCCGCTTTCCTGAACTTTTCTCTTTTGTCAACCTTAAAGATGATCGTGTTGGATTGAAGCTGTTGTCATGGGATAGTCACCTTGCACTTTCTCATTTGCAGAAAAACAATGAGGGTGCATCTTCTGATTGTCTAGCCTTTCCTATTGGATTCCCTCGAGGTTATGGATTGAAAAGGAAGTGTATGGAATGGTTAGAAGAGTGGCAGGGACTTCCTTATACTTCACCTTACAGTGATCCTTCTCACTTGGATCCCCGTACAGATATATCTGAGAAACGGATAGTTGGGGTGTTTCATGAGCTTCTACACCTCACAATCTTAAAACAAACTGAACGTAAAAATGTGAGCAATCTTCGAAGTCCATTGCGCTTACCCCAAAAGTTCACTAAGGTGTTTGAACGCCATCCTAGCATCTTTTATATTTCTAAGAAAAGTGATACACAAACAGTTGTCCTTAGGGAGGCCTACTGTGGATCTGAGCTCCTTGAGAAGCATCCACTAGTAGAGATTAGGAGACTGTGCTGAAATGATGAAACAAGGATTCTTGGATAGGAGTCGGGGTTTGTATCGGGAAAGCTAGGGACATAGAGCAAGAGTTTGAATGAAGCTAGGTAGTTGCAATCATTTAGGAAACCCAGTTGGAAACTATCCAATGCCGATGCTCATTCTGGGAAATTGATGGCATGCAGTGTGTAAGGATTTATAGCTGCTAAGCCTAGCCTCGTAGCAGATATGCTGCTATGCCTCAATGAGAAAGCCATTTGTGGCTTTTGTCAAGATACTCAGCTATGTGCATGCCATTTGTGGTGTCATCTCATACAGCAGAGTATGAGATCAGATCATAATAGTTGCCAAACTTCGACTAATGCATTCTGTTCAAAGCTTGGAGGAATCTTCTTTGCAGCTTGTTCCATTATGGAGGTAAATTCACCGACTTACTTTACTTTGGTGTTCTGGTTTGAGCTGTTAAAATTAAGTTAATCCAAACTTATGTATGCGTAATCCTAATATCTTGCAAATTGTTGAGTTGGCAGTTCCAGAACCGTTCCTTCTAAATTCACTCAATTTTTTTTTATTTTTTTAAATATGCAGGTGTCTTTGTATCATCAGCTGGAATCAGAGAATAATTCGAAGTGATTTAGTGAGCACAAAAGGATGGTGGCACAAAGTCGCATGAAAAGATTCTAGAATCAGAGACAGAATAATAAGAGATGCAACTATGCAAGCTGGTATAAGAAGTTTGCTTGAAGTTAACATCCTTGCATTACATTACTGGAATGTGGGATGACCTTTAAAGTATAAGTTGATTGCATGAAGAGAATGCTGTGAAAACACAAGTAGGACATCAACGAATTTCTGAAATTCTGATTTGTACATTACACTAGTATATAATTCATTACATCCAACAGACAGTTTTTGTTCATCTAAAATTATTTATTGTTGGGAAAATCCGTCTGATATTTGATCACTGTCCCAAAATCATCTTTTGGTCTGCATCCTTTCGGCATTATGACTGTCAGGGCTTAGGGTACTTTGCGGAGAAAGAATAAACCAGAGATGACTTGTGACTTGAATACTCAAAGTATACAAAATGATTTTAATGATTTTTGAATGCTCATATGTACATTAAATTCTAGCTATTACAAGACTATCTCATGTTGCTAATCTTAACTTCATCAAGAAACTCAATCACTATTCTGTGAACAATCTCCATCTATAGCCCTCTGGAATAAATATATATTTCTATCAAAGAGATCCTGAATATCCCCCGCAGTGTTCCGTATTGGGAAGAGTTGCACAATATTACAATACCCCAGGAATTCGGTCTTCAAATGGCTGTATGAATTAGGAACTGCACATAATTCTTTTCTCAAATAAACAACCTCTCGTACACTTGTGCTGGAATATGCCTGATTCATTTGCACATCTCCTAGTAGTCTGCCAGTAAGCAGAAAGGAGGAGAAAATTTTAAGCAAATCCGTTCAAAGTGTTGTTTTTGATAGGCTGACTAAATAATATTTCAACCTTGTCTCCTTAGGCGGGTGTTGGCTGAGGAATATCAACTAATCGCTCCATGGTCTGAAGTTGATCATATGGTGCAATCTGCGCCATGAGAACAGTCAATTAAAAGATTATAGCTTGTGCTTCAGTGTAGAAAAAATCATCGAAGTTTGTTTCATTATTTCCAAAGTTAATAACAAAAAAAGACCAAATGAGCTAAGCTTTTAGACAAGCTTCAACGCTGTGAGTCGTCAGTGGTCAGACGAGTAATTTTGTGGGATCCAAGCTCAATAACAGTAACAAATTAATATGTGAAAGGATGAAGCAAAATTACCTGGTTAAATCCATCTGGCCATGTTATTTGCACAGCATAATTACCCATAGGTCGGATTTCTTCTGGCTCAATATCTTCAGAAATATCAGAATACTGCAACATTTGCTCCCCAGTCCATTCATCCTGTTAAAGGAAACACAACCATTTTATCAAATTATACTTGATCATTTGACTGAGAATTTCTTTTGTTATAAAAACTTTCATTAAAATGGCTCACACAACAAGATACACAACTTCATCATTTCACCCTTCTGTTAGATGCAGAATTATTTGAACCATGGGTAAATGATGTCACTCAGTTGTTCAAAAGGGTAGGACATAGTTTATCTTGGCTTACCACACTCTGCGCTGACCGATCATTCCGTCTCACAGTTGCTGGATGTAGAAGGAACTCTTCTTCTGAATCAGGTACCTTCACCCTTATTGCTTTCATTGATTTGTCATAGCTGACAGCAGTTGATACTGGAAATATACAAAACAATTTGAAGTAGCTTAATTATAAATCATGTTGATTCAACAATACAAGGATCTTTTATAATGCTGTAACCCAATGGTATACAAACCTTGTTGGCGAATCTTGGCACATTGCTGTACAACACAAACTCCAAGGTCTTGAAACGTCTTTGCAACCTCTCCCAGAGGATCAGCTACAACTTCTGGTTGTCCACTATCTCCAGAAGCAGACAACTGCAGAGGTAAATTGTAAATATGTAGTTAGGATAATGTTTATACCAAGAAATACTGACTGCACCTGACTTAAACTGAAAGTGTACATGAATATATTTGACCCGAACAAATATCAACTCGACTTTTTTAAAAAAAAAAAAAAAAAAAAAAAAAAAAACCTAATTTTGACTAATTTTCACAAGAAGCTGATTTAACTTAGACCCGAAATATGATCCAAGTCCGTAAGATATCTATGGCAGTAATTGACTCACAAAGCAGATATCAGGATTTTCTGGTTCATAAATGAATATGTATGGCATTTTTATGATGTAAATGGTTTTATAAACAAACAGAGCACATACAGCTGGCTTGATTGGAAGTTCGAATAGATGCGGGATTCCAAACTGCTGAACAACCTGAAAGGACAATAGCCACAATGATTGTGTTAGCTCCTCTTCAGACATGCTGAAGGATCGAGGCAGCATTTAAGGAAGCTTAATGATCAACCATTGAAATCAATAAAGTCTGGAGATCAGCTGCATGCCTGAGAACCTGAACCTCTGCCAAAAGGATAGAAGCGCTTTCCATCAGCATCAAAGTGACACATATTCTCCACAACAGCAACGCATGGTACCTGGACATATCATGCAATGAGTCACTAAACACTATAGTTATTTGCGAAAAGTTCAATTATTTTTCCTATCACAGGTTGTAAACAGAAAAGCAGAAGCTAAATAACTGAACAATTGGTTTCTGCACTGAAGATCAAACCTTGAGCTTTGAGAACATGCGAACTCCTTTAGCAACATCAATAAATGCCAGCTTTTGAGGAGTTGTAACGATAACTGCTGCTGTTAATGGAACAACCTGACAAAAATCTACAAAATTCAGCAATTGCAAGAGAGAAGAACTATATTTCCAATTTTTCTCCACTGTTTCTTTTAAACCTAGAATAAGCACAGGCAACAAGAACCTGACACAAAGTTAGCTGAATGTCACCAGTCCCCGGTGGCATGTCAATCACAAGGTAGTCAAGTTCCCCCCTGCAAAATATGAAACTTGTCATATACTTAATTTTACAACTAACGATAGTAAAGAGCCATTGTCTATAATATAGTTCAGCAAATTAGATAGATACTTATGAGAAGACTATACGATTCAGTTGTTGCAAGCAGCTGGTTAATTGTCAGCAACATATTTAGATACTTATGGGAAAACTATACCATTCAGTTGTTGTAAGCAGTTGATTAATAACTCCAGAAACCATTGGGCCCCGCATAATTGCACGACCTTGCCCAGCAAATCCAAATGATACCAGTTTGACACCCAAGTATTCAGTTGGGATGATGGTTTTCGTCTCTGCAATCTGGACAATCAAATAACATAAACAAGCAATTCAAATAAGACAGCTTAAAATGAGTTTAAAGGCAATGCTATCACCATTTCTAGTAGCCTGCTATCTGGTGAAACCATTGTTGGCAAACTGGGACCATAGACATCAGCATCGAAAATACCAACTCTAGCACCCATACCAGCAAGAGTATAAGCTAGATTAACAGCAACAGTCGATTTTCCTACACCTCCCTGTATATTGCAAGAAAAGAGAACGATGTTGAATAATTAAATCCCAGGAAATAAAACAAATTTTGATATAATAGTAGCCATCATAATTTGTTGAACAAAATGTGTTTCACAGCAACCCAAATTAATAGCCAAGATAGCTGTTAAACAATATATAACTTGATCCAACTTTCCGTGAACAACATTTTCTAGTCTAAGAATCCACGACAGACATTAGTTGACAGGAACACGAGGCTCTTACTTTACAGCTAGAAACAGCCACAATGTTTGAAATTGTCTGCAGGCCCTTTGGAAGATCTCCCCCAAAAACTGGTTTAGCAGGTTGGGCAGACATCGTGACATTCACTTTTCTAACCCAAGGAAGTGCTGCCACCACCTCATTTGCTTTCTGCTCAAACTGCAAAAACACAACAATTATATACCCCATATTAATGCATAATGATTGAAGCCCTAATACACATTACAAGGAAATAGGCGGTATAGAGTCGGTCAGAGGACAGTGTATACTGTATAGAATTAAGGCAATAAATTATGATAGTTCTACATGACATATCAAACATCTACAAAAATGCTCCAAGGAAAAAAAATGACACCAGAACATACATCAGCAACAATCAAATTTGTAACTTGGAATTAATTTACCATGTCCTTGACTGGACAGGCTGGGGTTGTAAGCTCCAAGCGAAATGACACCTGAAATCAGAGGTTCACAGCTCAGGGAATAATGATAAATTACAAAGATACAAGAGCACAATATTATTTAGATGACCTCTCTTGAAGTTTCATCAATTTGTAAATCCTTCACAAAGCCACAAGAAACAATGTCGGTTCCAAAGTCTGGATCTATGATTTGAGACAATGCTTTGAGGACATCACTCTCAGCTTCTTTAATTGAAGATGTTGAAGCGCCCACTGAGTGTCAAAAAATAAAGACATGTTGACATACATGACTATATGAGTGACTAGACAGAGAGGTATTAGGCACACGTTTTTGATCTCGACAATTAAAGAACATTCTATTAATTCAGAGTTGAAAATGGGAATTGAAATTATACTGCAAGTTAGCTTAGCTGCTGCAAGGCAGTTCACTAACAGGATACCTTTGTCTATTAATAACTGATATCCATTTGATCATATATTGAACCAGAGATCAAATGTCAAATATCATATAGCAAGAAAAATAGTGTAAAAATCCTTAAACACCCAAACTAGCCAGTGTTCAAAGACACCATGAGGACAACAAGCCTCATACATCCATAGGAAACAAAACTTAATGACACATGTAAGACAACCCACAATCAATACAACCGTAGAAATTGATGCTGAAAATGTCACAACACCTAGAAGGCTAGAAGCCGAGACTCAATACACCTAATAACCCAAAAGAAACTATCAATTCATTGAAAAGTATGCGGGGCAAATCCAAGAACATGGCAACTAGTGAAAAAAGCCTTCAATCCCCATAATAGCCATAAGTCAAGCCAAGAAACACCATATAACACCTACAACCTGAAAGAAATAGCCAATACACAAGGGAGAATTAAAATTTCTACGATCTCTAGATCAAACCATGTCATTACCATGCCAAAGCTAGAGCTGGCAATCCCTAACCTGACCCGAACCTGACCCGAACGACCCAAATTCGACCCAATTTGACCCAAATTTCATATTTCGTAATAATATTAAGTTTTACACTATTATTGATAGTTTTTAAGCACAACCTGAAATTGACCCGAACCCGACCTGCTAACCCGAATTGCCACCCCTAGCCAAAGCTTCCTCCATATGGCATCCCAGAGGTTGTCGTTCCAGGCACCTCTATCACTAAACTCCACCAACATTCTAAATTCTAATAACCCATTCCCTATGCCAATACCTCTTTAAATTATTAGAACTATGCAATCCATCTGCTACATAAACTACGACACCTGCAAAAAATAATTCTTTAAAAAATACCAATATATTTTATGTCAAAGGATATCACCAAGATACAAGCACTACCTCCAAACTCATTCATCCCCACACAACTTTCCGAAGCAGCACACTAGGGATGAGAAATTAATTATTCACCCGTTGCTTTTCCGTAGGACCTGCTCCCTAAAAATTATACTTTTAAGTTTTAACTTTTGAAGCAACCTCTTAGGCTAATAGACCATATCAATGTCGTGCGGTCCCCTATAACAAGTATTACTTGAACATAAGCTCTTAGAGCTTGGGCTTATCCCTTTGATAGTGTAGGAGTTGAACTCATAATCTTCAAATTGTGAGCTGAATTTAAGGCCTCTATGTCAACCTCAAAAAGGATTGTCCATTTATGTTCAATACACATTCTATCCATGATGTTTGCACTAGGATAAGAGCGCCAAAAAAGAAAATTCTTAAAGTAAGTGAAATTCCGTTATGAACGCCAAAGTCAGGACTCATGGACAATGATGGATTCCTTTGTTGTACATGTAAATGTATTTTATATATATATATTTTTCCTATTTCAATTTTCAAGTGTAATACAAAGGAAGAAACCAAACATCATAGCATATCAACTTATCAAGTATCAACAAGGTTTCACCAAACTAAAGCGTTCCATACTTAACACGTACTTAAATAAAAGGTTAGTTTGTATCATCGTATATATTAGTCCCTCTATTCCATATTATTTGACCACTTAACTAATCCGCCACCAACAATATTAATGCACTATTACTTTAGTATTATTTGTCAACTTATTTTTGCAATGCCAATATAACAGCTAGTATCGCCTTAATATATGTGCATAATCTTAAAAGACACTTATATCGGAATGGAGGAAGTACGAACTTAAATTATCACTCCCGTACTCCCTCCATTGCTTTGAAACCATCTAAAATTCTACGAAATGTCCAATTTCTCAATTCAATAACACTCTTATGATTTATTCGATATTACCTCTCAAATTTCAAGAAATTAATCGAATACTAAACAAATCATATATACCTTCAACAGAAGAAGCTTTAGCTGTAATAGAACTAAAATTAACTTGATTATGCAAAACCCATGTAGGTTTTATCTGCCTTTGCTGTTGAATTAAACCATTAAATACTAATCCTGCAAAAAATCATAAAAAAGTTAACAACTATTTTAGCAGAAATAAAATTAAGACTGAAAATTGAAGTGGGATTTAAACAATTACCATTTTTGTGCTGAAGATTTTTGGAGGGTTGAAAAGAAAGATTAGGAGGAATGGGTGCATGAAGTAAATGCATTTTTCCAGGAAAAAAAAATGCAGAACAAAGAGGAGACTGAGAAAGTATGAAGTTTGAGCATAAATCAATAAAATGTCAAAAAATCATCATCTGAAAATCTAATCTTTGTTGCAAATAAAACGACATCGTTGGGTTTGGCTTGGTTTTGTTTTGCGTTATCGGCCGTTAATATTGTTGGCCCCACGGCGCCTATTTCTTGTGGCTAACATATTTTGGTTTTGGGGATAGAATTGTGGCTAACATTTCTTGCATCTTCTAAATCAAGAACGAATCGCCTTTTTAATTTTGTTTAAGATAAGTTCATCTTGTTTATAGAGTTGATCATGGGCCAGGTTGGAAAGGCTCAGCATGATCATGGGTCAGATTTAAAAGGTTCGGTATGATCATGGCTTAAGATGATACTTGTTCAGTTTTTTTTTATCCTGATAGTGTGTAAGAGGTAATCTGTATTTCCTTTATGTAAGAAAGCAAATACGAAATAATAAACATGTTAGGTAAATAATTTTGCAATGCAAGCGAAACGACCAAATGACCAATTGATTGGCTAGTAATTCATATAGGCCTTGTTTGGCAAATGGCGATTGGCGGTTGGCGGTTGGCTGGTTCACTTGGCTTGTTTGACCAGCTGTAATGTTTGGCCGTTTATAATAGCTTTTGAAATTGGATGTTTAAACTAGCTGTTTATAAAAGTGTTTGGTAAATTTAGTTGTTGGTTGTTGGCTGTTTATTAGATAATTTGTGGGCCAACAAGCCAACAAAAAAAGCTACTCAAAGCATCTTTTTCATTTTGGCTTAAAATCCAGCTTTTTCGCTGAATGAAAAGCCAATTATCAAACACTTTTTTTGGTTGTTAGACCACAAAAAAAAGTCAAAAGCCAAAAGCTAATCAAAAAGTCATTTACCAAACGAGGGGGCCCTAGTTAATCTCAGATATTAACATTCTAGTTTATCTCCTCTCACAACTTTATGCATTGAATTCTGTGCCACTTTATTATTTTACTTTTATCATTTAAAAAAATAAAATAAATTGGTTGTTAGAGAAGATATATTCACAAATTTATCTTAAAGAGAAACTTAAATTTACCCTTACCAAACATGGCCATAATCAAATAAATGCACTATCTATTGAGCCATGTCTCTTAATCTTTTTTTTTTTTTTTTAAAGCAAATAAACACATGTAAAGTCCATATGAATTTTAGGGTGACACATCACTAGCTCTTGATAAGAGAAGTCATCTCTTATTTCAGAAGTCACTCCCATTTGCAAACTTCAAATTAGACACTTCTATTTCTTACATAAGAGTTTGTTGAGCCTTTTGATTTTGATGGACAAATTGACAAACTCGACTAATGAATGTTTTGAGTCTTTGGTGAATAAAGGGTTCAAGCAAAGTTCGTTCCGGAGTAGGAACTTGGATGCGGAGTAGCATTCTTTAAAAAGCCTCGTGCAAATCTCACGTTCTAGTTTTAATTGTGAGCACTCAATAATATAAAGTCGGAAAGGAACTCAATGACTTATGTTAAAGACTACTGGAATAAAAGTTAGTTTTAAAAGATAATTTCTTAAAGAAAAGATAATTTGTAAAAGTTTTAATAAAGATAATTATCGAAGATAATTATCTAGTTGTTTTAATAAATAATAAATTTATCTTTTCAAATAAAATCTTTTTAAACAAACTTTTGATAATCTTTTAAATAAAATATTTGATAAAGTTAGCAAGTGGTTTTTCTGTGAGAAAATCTTTTATACGGCTAATGGTTATCAAGTTGTTAGGATAGTGGTTTAATTAGATAAGGCTAGGAAACCTCTTCATGATCACAATCTGTCAAGATAACTCCACAAGTTGTTAGTGGGTTGTTGACATGTGGACGTGATTATGGTGGAGGTTAATGACTAAGCCTTCTCTATAAATACTCATGCAAACTATCTCAGAAAAACATAACTCTTGAGCATAAAAATTCCAGTAGCCATCTAATAACATAAAGAGAGTTATTTTCCTTCATATATTCTTGAGTGCAATAGGTATTTGTAATCACAGATTGTATTCAAGTACTTAGGGGTTGGGATTGTGAGTTTGTAAAGTGAGGTCAAGGAAGCTTCGTTGCTGAAGTCTTCTGTGAGAGTTGGGAACAAGTTCCTAATTTGTGGAACTTGTTAACGGGTTTGAATCTTCACTTGTAAAGAGTTTGATTACTTAGTGGAAATTTAGAAAAGCCTATATCTTCTCTCGTCACTATTTCATTTAGTTAAATTCCGCAAAAAGTTTTTAGATTTCACCTCAAATACAATTCACCCCCCCTCTTGTATTAGCCAGTTAGACTTTCAGTTGGTATCAGAGCAGGAACTCAGAACACGCAGGCAACCCTGTTGAGTAAGTTCCTGGAAAATGGCTTACACAGAGGAAAAGGAATTCGGGAGTACATCCATTCAAAGGCCTCCATACTTCAACGGCAAATTTTATCCTTATTGGAAGGATAAGATGGAAATCTTTATCCAAGCAGAGAATTATCAGGTATGGCGAATTATACAAGTAGGAGATTACGAAATTACGAAAACGAATGCTAATAATGAGGTAATCCCTAAACCTATGGATGAGTATGAAAAAACTGATTTTGAAAAACTTGAAATGAATGCTACTGCCAAAAAGTTTTTAATTTGGGGACTTGGACCCGATGAACATACTCGTGTCAAAGGGTGCAAGTCCGCAAAGGAAATTTGGGATCTTCTGGAAGTTACACATGAAGGAACGTCAGATGTTAAACGTTCCAAAATAGACATTCTTTTGTCTCAGTATGAGCGCTTTGAAATGGGAAACAAAGAATCCATTAAAGACATGTTTACTCGATTTAAAGGTATTACTAACGAACTAACGTGTCTTGGCAAGATAATTCCTATAGATGAGCAGGTCAGAAAAGTCTTAAGAAGTCTTCCAGACAATGACAGATGGAGAGCAAAGGTTGCAGCGGTGCAGGAATCAAAAGACTTCACCAAGTTCAATCTGGAACATCTTGCGGGTTCCCTCATTACTCACGAGATCCAGTCGAACAATCGGACTCAGGAGACTGTCAAAAGTCAAGGGCTAGCATTAAGAGCTAATGAAGAATCCGAAGAGAAGTCTGACATCGATGAAGAAGAAGCTGCAATGTTGGTGAGAAGGCTGAAAAAATTCTACCGTAACAACAAGTTTTTAGACAAGAAGAAAGGATACAGTAAAAGAAATCAGGAACCCAAAGCCAAGTCTTCTTGTCACAAATGTGGAAGCACCAACCACTTCATCAAAGAGTGTCCATTATGGGAATCTGAGAAAGGCAAGGGAAAAGAAGCTGATCAAAGCAGAAATTCCAAGCCTAACTTTTCTAAAACAAATTTCAGGAAAGCAATGATTTCCACGTGGGGAGAATCAAGTTCCGAAGAAGAGGAACAGGAACACACAGACGATGAAGTAGCCAATCTCTGTCTAATGGCAAAGCATGATGATGAGGTAGTCATTCAACCTAATTATTTGAAATCTCTCTCAAAGGATAAATTAATCTCTTTATTGTTAGAAACCTTAGATGAATATAAAGAATTATGTGCAAAACTAAGGCAAGCCGAAAAGGCAACTGGAATTTGTAGAGATCATGTTAAGTATCTGAATAGCTTAAGAAATGATGTTCAAGGCAGATTCTTTGAATTGTTAGATAAAAATATTATGCTAAAAGAATCCCTTGAAAGAGTCAAGAGTGAGAATATCATGCTGAATATTGAATTGACTCAATATAAAATGTTGTGTACTAACATTGATTCTTGCAGGTCTACTGAAGTTCCTTTAATCATGTTTAATAATGAACTAGAGCATGTTAAGAAAGAGATAAAGGAAACCAATGATAAAAATGAGAAACTAGAAAAGGACCTAGAAATTGCAAGAAAAAGTAAAAATACAGCAAGCACGGGTGTTCCCAAGTGGGTAAAGGAAGCTCAGACAAAAAGAACAGAAGGTCTAGGCTATGTTCATAAGAAGAAGTCCACTGGAAAGAAAAAGAAATATGTGAACTTACCTAGTGAGACCGTTTGTTCTTTTTGTGGTAAAAAGGAACATCGCAGTGAAGAATGTACTAAGAAAGCAAATCTGTACAATAAGAATGTGAACTATGTTTGGCAGAAGAAATCTGATTTAAATGTGTCAACACAGGAACCCATGAATGAAAGGGTTCCTGCTACTAACCCTTAATTTCTTTTGCAGGTCGCAGTGAGGGGGAACAACCAGTGGTACCTCGATAGCGGTTGTTCTAAGCACATGACAGGAGATGAATCCAGATTTCTCTCACTGACGGCCTATACAGGGGGAACAGTGACCTTTGGAGACAATAAGAAAGGCAACATTGTTGCTGTTGGCAAAGTAGGAAGGTCAAGTTCCCATGCAATTGACAATGTATTTTTAGTCGAGGGTTTGAAGCATAATCTACTCAGTATATCTCAGCTTTGTGATAAAGGAAACTCTGTAAGCTTTTCTTCTGAAAATTGCAAAATCATCAACAATAACACTGGAAAAATCGTTTTGGAAGGAACTCGTAAAGGGAACACGTATACCGTGGATCTTAACAAAGTTCCAAAATACAATCTATCCTGTTTAAGTGTTATTGAGGATGATCCACTTCTATGGCATAGACGTTTTGGACATGTTAGTCTTTCATTGCTTGACAAATTAAGGTCAAAGGACTTGGTAATCGGATTACCTTCTATCAAATTCCTAAATGACAAAATTTGTGAAGCTTGCATCAAAGGAAAGCATGTTCGATCATCATTTAAATCAAAGAAAATGGTAAGCACCACAAAACCATTGGAACTCATTCATATGGATTTGTGTGGCCCCGTTAGAATTCAAAGTAGAAGTGGAAAAATATATGTCTTAGTTCTTGTAGATGATTATTCTAGATTTACATGGGTCATATTCTTACATAGTAAAGATGAAACTTTTGATATGTTTATGACTTTCTTGAAAAAGGGCTTAGTTAGGCTAGATTTTATTTCTACTGAATGACAAATTGCTGATATATTAACTAAGCCTTTAAGCAGAGACAAGGTTGAAAAGATGCGTGTGGAATTGGGGATGCTACGGCTCAAGTGACTTTTGTTTGGAACCC